GGGGAACTCCAGTGGGTCTACACACCTGAATCAAATGATTAGTTCATTACCAGGCCTCTGGAGAACTACAAGAGATGTTGAGGCAGTAATTTAGCCATTTGAATCAGCTGTGTTGAATCAAGGACACATCTAAAACCTGTAGGATCACCAGCCATTAAGGTCTGGAGTTCCCCAACCCTGTCTTAGATAAATATTAGAGCTCTGGCTCCACTACAGTGTGAAGATAATGTAAGTTACCGTTCTCCAGTCCAAGCAGCAGATTTTAAAATATTTAATTACAATTGCATTTATTTTCTGATGCTTTCACATGAACTCCGTCTTCCCTCAAATAACAACACTGACAAGTCCTCTTCACACATGAAGAGGACTTATCTGCGGTCACTACACTAACTTTTCTTGCATCAGGTGCATGTGAGAACAGATCCGGGACAGTGCTCAGACATTAGCTAGTCTTCAACCTGCCAGCTCCAGATCATCTGAAGTAAAAAACAGAAAAATATAAAACACTTTTTTTTTTTTTAAGCAATTGTTAAAACTCGTGATTTTAAAAGAAATCTTGTGTGGAACTGTTTACTAGGCCAACACATGCGAAACCAAACATCTTGGAAAGCATGACAACTCCAAACAGAAGGATTCAGACTTTCTGCTAGACTTCAAACCCGGGACCCTCTTGCTGTAAAATAAGATGCTAACCACGGATCTACTGCGCTAAACATGACCGTGTAACCACAGACACCAACCGCAGCATTCAACCTCACCACAACATTACACTCAGAGCACTGTAAAAGGCACATTAAACCTTTAACCATGTCACAAAAGATCAGTCTTAGAGCTATTTTTCTCTGCAGTGTAATTGTTTGTTAGTCTGTAAAAGGGCAAAATGCAACCAGTCTTCAAAATTTTTTTTATGTAGGAACATCTTTTTGAACTCCAAAAAGGACCAATGAAATTTCTTTTACTGTTAAGTACCCCTTTAGATACTAGAGCAGGGGTGGGGAACTCCAGGCCTCAAGGGTCGGTGTCCTGCAGGTTTTAGATATCACCCTGGGTCAGCACACCTGAATCAAATGATTAGTTCATTACCAGGCCTCTGGGAAAACATGAACACATGTTGAGAAGGTAATTTAACTATTTAGATCAGCTGTGTTGAATCAAGGACACATTTAAAACCTGCAGGACATATTCAGACTTTATCATATAGTCTGACTAAATAGACTCATGTTCTATTAAACTACAGTGAAAATTGGCAAGATACATGCATTCCTTCTTTTAGAGTTTTAAGTGCCTTCCAGGCTTAGATTTGTACAGTGAATGGCAATGTGGGGCTAATCTGTGTGTGACGGAAGAGTGGTTTCATCTTGCTGACACGGTGACAGGAAGCATTTTAAATTCCTCTCCGTCTAAAGACACGCACTCTGACACAGACAATGCTTTATGTTCCTACAGCTTTAACGTAGTTACAAATTCTCTTATGTAGTTATTTTTTTTTTTTGCTCCTTGAATTTGTTTTTACCTTAGCATAAGGACACTAGACTCCTAACTCAATAAGACACGGACTGTGTTGTAGCTGCTGGATGTAACATTTTCATTTGTAATGGTCGAATAGGTCCAATCAAAACAGTTAAAAGATGGCGGAGATGTATCATATGACCACTGCATAGAAAAGCATTCAGACAAGTCTTACATTCTTTCACTCTATCGCTCATTGAACTCTCCATCTGGGACTATAATAAGCAGCTTAAGACTAAGTGCAAAATCAGGATCCACGATAAACACCCTGAGATGGAAATGCCTGCTTTAAGCACGGATGTGGCCATAAACAGTGAGCAAAGAGCACCAAGTCAGACGACAGTGACGTCTACATTCCTTCTCGTGTGTCCGTTTTCACTCAGGCGGGTTAAAACTTCTAAACAAGGTTTTAATAATAACTTTAAAAGCCTTGGTGTTTCCATTAGGTCTCCTGGAAGAAACTCAGGTTGGCTCAACTGCAATCAGCATTACATAAATCTTGAAAGAAACTACTTTCATTCTACATTTCAAATAAAGGGGATATATCAGTATTATTATCTTTTATCAATACAAATGTAAACTTA